CGCTCAGCAACCCCATTCTGCTGTGGAGAGGCCGGAAGCGTGAACGACTGGCGAATGCCGTGCTCGGCACAGTAGGCTGCCAAGAGGTCGGAGGAGAACTCGCCACCTCTGTCAGAGTGCAAGCGCAGGACAGGAAACTCCGAGCGAAAACGCTCTCGCAGCTGAAGACGTGCTCTGCTGATCCAAGGGATCAGGACATCAGGGACTTCACCCTTGGTGCGCAAGGGGAAGACCGTGGTGTAGCGCGAGTAGTCGTCAACGACGATCAAGAAGTACCTCTCCTGGCCCTGACCACGGACGCGGGCTGGGCCCCACACGTCCATGTGGAGCGTCTGCAAAGGAGCAGTCGTCGGGGGGAACGAGGAGGAGTGAGGGGCAGCGCGCTGCCGCCCCTCGACACAGGGAAGACAAGGAGGAGCAAGGGAGGGTGGGAGGGGAGGAATTACCCGAGGAAGACCAGAGACAAGGTACCGGGAGTGCATGCCCCGAAGGCGCTGCACTGACGGGTGACCAAGTCGGTGGTGCCAGAGGACAGTCTTGTGCGCTAGAGAGCGACACGAGCAGGGGGCAGACAGCTGACCTGACGCAGACGCAGACGCAGACGCCGCTACCTGAGGAGACTCAGTGGTCAGTGTGTACAGGTCCGACCCCGGCTGCCGAGTGAAGGTAGCCAGGTGACGGCCCGTCCGAGCACACGTGCAGTGTGTCACGCGCTCGTAGGCAGGGGTGAACTGGTGAACACCCCCATCCTGAAGCGCACAGCCCGCCACCAAGTTCGTAGAGAACGAGGGGAGGTGGAGACCTGACAGTGTGCCCGACGGGACAGCAGGACAAGGAAGGACAGTGGAGGAGGTCGCAATGACCGGACCCCCAGAGGGGTCAGCGAGCGAGACAGCGACTGGTCGAGCAAGGGGCTCAAGAGCAGTGCGGTCACGAAAGAAACAGCGCGAAGCGCCTGAGTCTAGAGTGAAGGTGTGCAGTGCCTCAGTGGACTCAGTAGTACCTGGGGTGGCGGACACACAAGCACCTAGAGCAGTAGTCGCACTAGCACCTGGGGCAGCAGACACGCAAGCACCTAGGGCGGCAGCCTCACTCGTGCGGATGCCTGGGTCAGGCGGAACACACAGGTACTGGTCCTCCTCTCCACTAATAGTCAATGCATACATGGCTTTGAGAATAACATCAAAATCAAGAGCATAGATATCGATATCCTTCTTGAGGAGATCAGCCCACTGAGGGAGCTCAGGAGCGTCAGGAAACTGAGCACGCCACGCGTCATCTAGGCGAGAGAAGCAGCGCTGCGCAGTGTGCGCCCTCCCGCACGTCTGTCCCTTGCGGCGACCAGTGCGGATGACGTACGTGCAGCTAAGGCTACCCCCCCCACCCCCGTGCTGTAAGTACCACTCACGAAGCTCCTGGGAGGACTGAGGGTGCTGCGCGCTCTGGCTAGTGCCAGAGCCTCCACGACCACCACCGCCCCTGCCGCCTCCACGTCCACTGCCGCCACCACCACCGCCCCCACCCCGGCCACCGCCGCCGCCGCTGCCTCCACCACCCCCACCGCTGCCACTAGCCCCTCCAGCCCCGCCACCACCCCCACCGCCGCCACCACCCCCACCACCGCCTCCCCCGCCGTCACCCCCACCGCCCTTGCCTCCTCTGCCCCTGCCGCTGCGACGCCCGCTGGGAGCGGACGCAGAGCCGACCTGCTCAGCACCAAGGAGGTCGACAGCAGCAGCAGAGGCGACAGAGGGGAGCAGGGGGGAGGGGGAACACCCCTCGAAGAAAGGGGTACGGGGGTCGCCACGAGAGGTACCTACAGCTACAATACTCTTCTCAGCTGCAAGTAGTTCCTTCTCTAGGGCGGTAATGGTGAGCTCAGTGGGGCAGCGAGCTAGGAAGTGGTCCCTGACTGTACGCAGAGTGTCAGGGAGGCGGGTGACTAGGTGGTAGAGAGTGAGCCAGAGCGGGGGAGGGTTGGAGGCAAGAAACTCAGCGGGCATGGCTGCACGGAAGCGGGCATCACTAGTGCGGAGGTGAGTGATGAGGTCAGCGACTGTCTGGAAGGCGAACAGGTCGGGGAACAGGTAGGGAAGCGATAGGCGGCCTAGTGCAGCTGAGATGAATGAACAGGAATGATTGAACTAACAGTGAAATCAGTACAAGTACCTAACCCTAGAATTGTGTACCCCCTATAGGCTAACCCACTGTAGCCTAAACAAGCACAACATATATAATGTTTGACATGCATTTCTTTGTATTCCTTGTACTCTTATATAATCTTGTATCTCCTTGCTTTAATCAATCTACTTTGCCCTCACATACTAGCGCAAGGTGGTTCACAGTACTTCATTAAACGCTTCCGCTATTACATCAGTCTTACCCAGAGTTCACCCCTGCAAAGATCCTAAGGGCTTTTCTCAGCCCAACATGGTATGAGAGCTATCAGGGGGAATTCAACTACCACAACACCTACAACAACAGAAGACATGGCTACTCAGAAGGAAAGGAGTTCCTCTATTGGTTCTCCCGGCACTACTCCTACTCCACCTCCTGCCTCTGGCCTACAGACAGAGGAGGGTACGGCAACAAGACCCAGGGCAACATCCAACGAGTCTCCTGCGAATCAATCTGCAGGCTTTGACCAGAGCATGATGGAGAAGTTTTTCTCCTTCATGTCCTTCTACGAGCAACACCAGCAATCGGTACCTGCGCAGTCATACAACAGTAACAACAGCAACAACGACGTGACTCCAATGAGCCTTGACGGTTCATCCTACGCACATGGAAATCAACAGCAGCAACCTACCTTTGCTCCATACGAGCCCAAGCGCGGCTCCGTCAGCTTTATGCCACAACCGCAGCCTGCACCTGGACAGGAGAAACCACTGGACGCACTTCAAGTTCAGTCGCAGTTCGCGCACGTTTTAAAACTTCAGACTTCAAGGCCTTTCGACGGAAAGGATTTCTTCACCTGGTCGTTTGAATTCGAGTTGATGATGGAAGGCGCGCAGATACTTGGCTTCTTCGACGGGTCCCTGCCATATCCAACGAGCGGCACACAGTATGAGAAGCAGCAGTACACCTATCAGTCGATGATGGCGTACACGATTCTACTGAGGAACATCACCCCGACTCAACAGCAGAATATACGGTCTTACCGGGGTTACGGCAACTCCGCGGAGCTCGCATACAACCACTTGAAGAGCCTGTATCAAGCAACAGACAGCGTAAATCAAAGTCGGTTAATGGCAGAACTCACAACGGTCGAAATGAAACCAGGCGAGAAAGGAATGGCGTATATCAGCCGATGTCGCGAGTTGCGCGACAAGCTTCTTCGATGCGGAGGGTCGATTTCTGAAGACGCCTTCGTGACACTCATCATTGGAGGCCTCGGTCCTCAATGGCGCGCCACAAAGGCCATTCTCCGAGCCCACGGAAGAATCTCCGAAGCAGCACTCTGCGCCGAAATCCATGCCGAGCAACAAGACATGGACCTGCAAGAAAAACGACACAAAAAGAAAACATCAGCACCAGAATTTGCATTCCACACTCAGCGACGCTACAACAACAACAAACAACAACCGAAGCCCGTACCTCCGTTCTGCCACATTTGCAAGACGTCAGGGCACCCACGCACACACTGCCCGAATCGACAACAGTCAACTCCACCGCAACGGCAGCTTCGACCCTCAAGCAGCCAAGTGGCATCAACGCAGGCGAACCCCACGAGTCAGTCGCAACCTTCAACAACACAACCTGCACAAGGAGGAAGAAACATCGTCAGCTGCATGGCAAAATTGACCGATTCCTGCATCACCAAGTCACCGCCACACTACCCACCGGAAGAACAACTCGACAACACCACACCTCGCCGCGAGTCACTTCAACCGAATCCAACGTACGCAGCCATCGCCCAGAGCGAGCCATCCGGGAAAGACACCTGGTTCTTGGACAGTTGCTGCGGACAACACATGTGCTCTTCGGGACGCTTCGTGTGTCAGATTTATATGACTTAGCTGCTGTAGGCTATAGTGGGGTAGCACATATGGGGTACAGCTTTCTAGGGTTTGCACTTGTACCCAACTTTCCCTTAGTCTTTTCATTCTCGTTCAATTTCACATGGTACAGAGCGGGTTCCCCTATGGGAACTGTTCCTAGGGCCCACCGATTTTTTTTTTTCCTGCCCGGAGCGCGCTCAGCCTCTGCCCGAGTCGCGCTCCCCTCTCACGACCCCGTCGCGCTGCCCTTACGACCCCGTCGCGCCGCCTTAGCGGCCCCGTCGCGTCGCGCCTCCCTAGCGGCCCCGTCGAGTCGCCCTTGCGACCCCGTCGTGCCGCCCTCGCGGCCCCATCACGTTGCGCCGCCTTCGCGGCCTCTTCGCGCCGCCCACACGGCCCCGTTCCGCCGCCCTCGCAGCCCCGTCGCGTCGCGCCGCCCTTGCGGCCCTTTCGCGCCGCCCTCGCGGCCCTTTCGCGCCGCCCTAGCGACCCCTCCACGCCGCCCTCGCGGCCCCGTCACCTACCCTTGCGGCCCCGGCGCCGCTCTTCCGGCCCCGGCGCCGCCTCTGCTGGCCCCGTCGCCCCACCCTTGCGACCCCGCGGCCCCACCCTTAAGGCGCCGGTCGCCACCCTTCGTGGCCCCGCCCCCGCCCTCAGCGGCCCCGTCGCCGCCCCACCCGGCCCCGCCGCCGCCCTCAGCGGCCTCGTTGCCGCCCCACCCGGCCCCGCCGCCGTCCCTTCAGCAACCCTGCCACCCTACGCGGCCCCGCCGTCACCACCGAGCCGCCGGCGCCGCTGAGTCGCCGTTGCCGCTGTGCTGCCGAGCCGCCGCTGCTGCCGAGCCGCCCGAGCCACCCAAGCAGCCCGAGCCGCCGAGCTGCAGTTGCTGCCGAGCCGCCGAACCACCGAGCCGCCCGAGCCGCCCTGTCCGGTAAGAGTGGCACCTCTACCACTGCGCTGCCCTTAGCCTACAGCTCGCGCTGATAGTCTACTGCTGTCATGGCTACCCCCAGCGTCCTCGCTTTTGACGCTGAGGGTCGGGCCATTGACTTTGACGTCTGGGTAGATGACCTGCAGCTTTTCCTACAGTGCGATAGAGCAGACGGTCTCTCCCTCTTTGACCTCACTTCTGGTGCCTCTCCTGCCCCTACTGCTGATGCTGACGCCACTGTTTGCTCACAGTGGGCCACACGCGATGCTGCTGCACGTCTTGCTGTGCGTCGCCACTTGCCTACCTTTGAGCATGCACACTTTAGCCAGTACAAGAGTGCTAGGACCTTGTACGACGCTGTAGTTGCACGCTACTCTTCCCCTGCTACTGCTGCACTTAGCCGCCTCATCCTGCCGTACCTCTTCCCTGACCTCACTGCTTTTCCCACAGTCGCTGACCTCATTACGCACCTTCGCACTAGTGACATTCGCTACCGAGCTGCCCTTCCCGCTGAGTTCTGCGCCAAGAACCCCCCCCCTATGTACATCACCCTCTACTACATAGTCACCCGGCTCCCTGACACCCTTCGCCCGGTTAGGGACCCACTTCCTCTCTGTTTGCCCCACCACCCTCACCGTTGACCTCCTCGAGGAGCGCCTCCTAGTAGCAGAGAAGAGCAGAGTCGCTGTAGGAGCCTCTCGTGGTGAACCTCGTGCCCCTGTCTTTGAGGGGTGCTCCCCCTCTCCTCTCTTGCCCTCTGTTGCCTCTGCTGCTGCGGCCGACCTCGTTGGTCTTGAGTCGGGCGGTGCCGCGTCTGCCCCTAGCTGGAGACGCCGCACTGGCAAGGGCAAGGGGGGCAGGGGCGCTGGAGGAGCTAGCGGGGGCGGTGGAGGCGGCGGTGGTGGCGGCGGAGGGGGTGGGGGTGGCGGTGGGGGTGGTGGCGGGGGTGGGGGCGTCGGTGGCGGCAGTGGAAGCGGAGGCGGCGGCGGCGGTGGCGGTGGGAGCGGAGGTGGCGGAGGTGGCGGTGGTGGAGGTGGCGGCGGTGGAGGAGGCGGCGGCGGAGGAGGTGGAGCTGGTTCGGGTGGTGCTACGCAAAGGGTCGGCTCCAGTGGAGGTCAGCGTTAGCAGCAGCAGCAGCAGCAGCAGCAGCAGCAGCAGCAGCAGCAGCAGCGTACTCATGAGATCCCCCTCCCTCAGCAGCTTCGTGAGTGGTACGCTGCACACCAGCGCGGTGGGGGTACTGGTCCGTGCACCTACGTCCTACGCATCGGCGACCGTGCGGGTGAGCCGTGCGGGGGTGCGCACTCCACCCAGCGCTGCTTTGGCCGCCTGACGGACGCTTGGCGTCACCAGTTTCCTGAGGCCACTGAGATCCCTCGCTGGGGCGAGCTGTCTAGGGCGGAAGTAGCTATCTTTGACCTTGACTTTGATGCTATTCTTGCTGCCATGTATGCTGTGACTATTAGTGATGAGGGTGACTGTTACCGGTGTTTTTCACCCGACCCAGGCATTGTGACTGCTGCTCTAGGTACTGGTGAGGCTGCTCTAGGTGCTAGCGAGGCTGAAGCTCTAGGTGCCAGTGCGTCTGCTTCCTCAGGTGCTGGTGAGCCTGCTCTCTCAGGTACTGCGTCGGCTTCAGCCTCCCACCCTTGACTCGAGGGCTTCTCGCTCCTTTCGAGACCGCACCACACTCACGCCGCTTGGTCGGCCAGTTGCAGTCTCTCTGGCAGACCCCTTTGGGGGTCCTGTCCTTGCTCAGTTCTCTACTGTCCTCCCGTGTCCGGCGGCCCCCTCTGGCACCCTGTCTGGTCTTTACCTCCCCTCGTTCTCTACGAACTTGGTGAGTGGTGCTGACCTACAGGATGCAGGGGTTCACCAATTTACTCCTGCGAGCCAGCGGGTGACCCACTGCACGGACGCGACCTTCACGCTTCCGGACTCTCCACTGCAAAATGGGATTGCTGAGCGCCGCATTGGCATGGTCATGGACGTCGCCCGTACGTCCATGATGCATGCGGCTGCCCCCCATTTTCTGTGGCCGTTTGCGGTTCGGTACGCAACGCATTAGATCAACCTTCAGCCAAGGGTCTCCATGCCGGAGACCTCCCCAGATTTGCTGTGGACGGGGAAGGTTGGCGATGCGTCTGCGTTCCGTGTCTGGGGATCTCGGGCGTTTGTCCGCGACTTGTCTGCAGACAAGCTGTCCCCTCGTGCTGCTCCCTGCGTCTTCCTTGGCTTCCCCCCTGACGCACCAGGGTGGCAGTTCTACCACCCCACCTCTCGCCATGTTCTGTCCTCCCAGGACGTCACGTTTGACGAGTCGGTCCCCTACTACCGTCTCTTCCCCTACCGCACTCCGTCCCCCCCCCCGCCACCGCTCTTCCTTGTGCCAGGTCCCCCCCCGGTAGACCCCCTCCCCCCTCAGGGTCCTGCCCCTTCAGGTATGTCCCAGGTAGACGCAGTCGAGCCTGTCGAGGTCGCTGGTGACTCTGGTGCTGCTGAGGGTGCTGAGCCTGGGGGTGCTGACTCTGGGGGTGCTGAGCCTGGGGGTACTGAGCCTGGGGGTACTGAGCCTTGGGGTGCTGAGCATGAGGGTGCTACGCCTGGGGGTGCTGAGCCTGGGGGTGCTGAGTCTGGGGGTGCTGAGCCTGGGGGTGCTACGACTGGGGGTGCTGAGCATGGGGGTGCTACGCCTGGAGGTGCTGAGCCTGGGGGTGCGGAGCCTGAGGGAGCTGGGCCTGCTCGTGTGGCGTCTGGCGGTGCTGGGCCTGGAGGTTCTCCGGGTGCTCCGTCTTGACGGGAGCCACTCTCTCCACAGGAGGTGCGTGAGTGGTTTGCCCGGCGCTGGAGGCATGCTTCTAGAGATGGAGGTTCTTCGGCTGCTGAGGGTGCTGGTGCCACGGGTCCCGGAGGTGTTCGTATTGGGAGTAGTGGAGCTGCTAGGCCTGCGAGTACTACTGGAGCTGGAGCCACTCTGTCTTCTCGTGGTCCGACTGGAGCTGGAGCTGCTGAGGGTGTTGGAGCTGGCGGTACTGGAGGCGGTCCTGCTGGGGGTTCTACTGGTGCTGCTGGAGGTCCTCGAGCTACTCGAGCTGCTGGGGGTACTGGAGCTGGAGGTTCTGCTGGCTCTCGTGCTACCGCTGGGGGTGCTGGAGCTGTCCCTGCTGTGTCAGGAGTCGCTGCGCGGCCTCGGCCGCACTTCGTTCCTCTCCTTGAGCAGGTTCTTGGTCTCCTGCCTTCTACTGGTCCTCCTCCTCCCTTAGAGTGTCCACAGCCTGTCCCGTCACAGTTACAGTTACAGCCGGCCTTCCCATTGCCTGCTCCTTCTCCCTACACTGGTCCTACTGGAGGTCTTGCTGAGCGTCGTGAGCCTGCGTCTCGTCCTGGGTCGCCTGTCCGTGCTGCTCGCGCTAGTGGTCGTGGTTCGCGTCCGCGTCCTCCCCCTGTGCCCGGCACGCACCGGATGTCTCTCCGTCCGTCCACTGCTCCTCTGCGTGGCCCTTTGCCTTCTCCTCCTGAGTCCTCTCTTCCTGCTCTTGCCGACCCAGAGTCAAACTCCCTTCGTGCTGCCAATCCGACTTTCACGCGTCTCCTTGCTAGTGTTGTCACTGACCCTTTCTTTGAGTCCACTGCTGCGTCTGCCCTAGTTGCTGAGCTCGTCAACTTTGCTGCTCGCTGTCGTCTACACTACGCTGCTAGTCTTGTTGCGACATCTAAGTCTGTCTGTCCTCCGTCCATCGGGGGTGAGTGTGCCCTTGGCACGGACGTCCTTGAGGACAGGCAGAAGGAGTTCCAGTGTTTGGCTGCCGCTTCACCTCATCTCGTGTCCGTAATGCTTACCCCTGAGGGAGACCCGTATGCACTTGACATCCCGACTCCGCGCTCTTACGCGGAGGCGATAGAGGGTCCCTACTCCTCTCAGTGGCAGGCAGCTATGGACGCAGAGATGGCTTCCTGGAAGTCCACAGGCACCTATGTTGACGAGGTTCCCCCGCCTGGGGCGAACATCGTCACTAGCATGTGGATTTTGAGGGTGAAGCGGCCGCCGGGTTCTCCGCCTGTCTTCAAGGCGCGTTACGTGGCTCGTGGCTTCAGTCAGCGGCAGGGAGTTGACTACTTTCAGACCTTCTCTCCCACCCCGAAGATGACCACTCTTCGGGTACTGCTGCACATAGCTCCCCCCGAAGAGCTACACTCTCTTGACTTCAGCACTGCTTTCTTACAGGGCAGCCTGCACGAGGAGATCTGGCTGCGCCGCCCACATGTCTTCACTAGGACTTTTCCTCCTGGCACCCAGTGGAGCCTTCGGCGGCCAGTCTACGGTCTCCGCCAGGCACCGCGTGAGTGGCACGACACACTGAGGACTACACTTGCGGCTCTTGGGTTTGCTCCCTCTACTGCCGACCCGTCGCTGTTTCTGCGCACCGACACTTCTTTGCCGCCGTTCTACATCCTCGTGTACGTCGACGACTTGGTCTTTGCCACAGCTTACACTGCTGGACTCGCCCACGTGAAGTCCGAGCTGCAGAAGAGACACACGTGCACAGACCTGGGTGAACTGCGCAGCTACCTTGGCTTGCAGATCACCAGGGACAGAGCACAGCGCACCATTACCCTGACTCAGTCACACATGGTGCAGCAGGTCCTTCAGCGCTTCGGCTTCACGTACTCCTCGCCTCAGGCCACTCCTCTGCCTACTCGCCACTCGCTCTCAGCTCTGCCTTCGGATGAGTCCGTAGAGTCGAGTGGCCCGTACCCAGAGCTTGTTGGCTGCCTCATGTACCTGATGACCTGCACACGACCTGACCTTGCATACCCTCTTAGCATTCTCGCACGCTATGTTGCTCCTGGGAGACAGAGACCGGAGCACATGGCTGCAGCGAAGAGGGTGTTGCGCTACTTGTGCAGTACGTCGGGCATGGGGCTTGTGCTTGGAGGGCAGAGTCCAGTGGTCCTCACTGGGCACGCAGACGCTTCTTGGGCTGACGACCAGGCTACGCAGCGGTCGTCACAGGGTTACACCTTCAGCCTTGGTTCCGGCTCTGTTTCGTGGCGGGCTACCCGCTCGTCTTCTGTTCTCGGCTCCAGTTGTGAGGCTGAGATCTACGCAGGGGCCATGGCTGCACAGGAGCTTCGCTGGCTCACCTACCTACTGACTGACCTCGGAGAGCCGCCTCGTTCTCCTCCAGTGCTGTACGTAGACAACAAGGCCATGCTGGCCTTGTGTCGGGAGCAGAGACTGGAGCACAGAACGAAGCACATTGCTCTTCGCTACCTCCTTGCTCGTGAGCTATAGCAGCGTGGTCAGCTGCGCCTTGCGTACGTGGCCTCTCAGGCCAACACTGCTGATATCTTCACCAAGGCACTTGCGCCTTGTGATCAACAGCGCTTCTGTACTCAGCTCGCTCTTGTGCCTACCTTGCCTCACTTGCTCACCCCTTGACCTTGTTTGTACTGTTACATATATATACACACCTGCTCTTGCTTGTTTAGCCTTATATATATATGTAATCTTGCATGTGAACTGGCCTTGTGGCCTTGAACTTGTGCTCGGAATGTGTGGTGACGTTGTGATCCACCCTGAGCTTGCTTTGCTTTGCTTGACTGGTCTTGTGACCCCTTGTCCTCCCCCACTTTGCCTATGGCGGTTTGTCAGATTTATATGACTTAGCTGCTGTAGGCTATAGTGGGGTAGCACATTTGGGGTACAGCTTTCTAGGGTTTGCACTTGTACCCATTTTTCCCTTAGTCTTTTCATTCTCGTTCAATTTCACATCGTGCAGCAAGAATATCAACTCCAACGCGAAGTAGTCATCACCGTCGCCAACAACCAGAACCTGCGCACACGACGACAAGGCGTGGTCCAACTTCAGTCAAGAGAGACAAACGTTATACTACAGATGTCAAAGGTATTAATCACGGAGGGACTCAGCTACAACTTACTGAGCATCAGCAAGTTGATGGCAAAAGGGATTCACCTCGAAGCAGACAGCACCACCCTGGAGTTCAAGTTGTACCACGGAAGAGGAGGACTCTACATCGGCAAGGCAGTCTTGAAGAACAATGTCTTCGTTCTCGACTTCGTTCCAGACCTCGGCACCGCCGACAGCGACGGCATCGTCACCTTCACATCTTGGACACATCCATCGGACCTTGACCCAGACTTCAGCCCCGGCTGTTTCTGTTATTCACACACGATACCTGAAGCAGAAAGAACAAGAGCGTTAGCAACAATTCAACATTCGGCAGCTGCAGAGACAACTTGAGGAGCAACAGAAACAACATCGTCAGCAGCAGAAACAACATTGGCAGCAGCAGAAACAACATCGGCAGCAGCAGAGACAATATCGTTAGCAGTAGAGACAACATCGGCAGCAACAGAGACAACATCGGTAGCAGCAAAACCATCAACGGCAGCAGCAGGAACGTCAACACCAATCGCTGGTCCTTCAATGGCACCACTCCTCGTCGACGACACACCACCGACACCCGCGCAGCAACTGCACCCAGCACCACGAGAAGTTCATCGAAGCGCCAACTTCACCGCCAGCTTCTATTCCAACTCGGATATGTATCGCCGCTCACCCGGACATCGTGCAACCGAAGGAACCTAGCACGCAAGAATGTGACACCCAAGCAACACGGTGTTAAAG